ATGTTTCTTTTTTCTTTTTGCTCTTCTCTTCTCTTCTTTTTTTCTCTTTTGCAGCTTAGATATATTCTTTCTCTTGAGCTATTTCTTCTCTTTTCTTTTCAATGCTTCTACGATTGATATTTCGTTGTAAGCTTTTCACTCGACTATCCTCTTAAATTATCCTCTCAATTTTTCTTTTGAAAGTTTTTCTATTTAAAGGCTTCATGGATATATGTCTGGTAGACTTCAGCCTTTGGCCTTGATACTCATGCTTTCTATTTTTTTGTACATCAGTCATTGGGTAAGTCAACTTGTTAGAGCAGACATGTTTTTTCAGTACTTTGCTTGAAGTAGGTTGTACGTTCTTTTTAGGCATGACTTCAAGTGAAAGACATTTTATGAATATCTCCTTTATCTCTAACGTCCATTTTTATTATTTGATCTGTATCTCTGTGGATGCGTGTAGAATAGCTTATCTGCAAAGAATAGAGTATATTGTGCATCCAGCAGATACGTCTTTTCTTATCATCTTTGTTGTTTTTAAACGTTAAACATTTAATGTCATTTAATGTTTGCTCAGAACAACAAAGAGTTTTTTTTATTTTCTATCGTTAGGTAGCTTTTAACAATTAGTCTCTTTTCTAAATATACTAAGTGTTGTACTAAGACTTTATCGTTGGACAAAGTATTGTTTAAGCTCATAGTATCGTTTTGCCAAGTAAACGCTTCTTTTGTTTTTTTCTTTTCTTAGAGATACAGTGTTTAGCTTGTTTTAAGCTTTCTTTTAATTTTTCATATTTAAGTCTTTTAGTTTGTTTTGTTTTCAAAATATAATAGCGTTAAATGAATAAACAATTTTATCTTAAGAAAAAGTGTATTTTAAAAACCATTATTAATTTTTTGTGGTGCTTATATTTTCTTGATCTTGAAGTAACTGGGCCAACATATATTTATTAATCAAAATGAAAATAAACAATAAAATTTAGTGAAACATTGATGAAATTAATTCTCTTATACAGATCACACAAGTTTTTTTATTAAAATGTCTTAATTTTTTTAGGGCTATTATGACAAAAATTTAGATAGTTGTTTTAAAATATAATTTAAAGGGATAAATAGTAGTAATTATACTTTGGGGACAAAATGACCATTTACCCTAAATTCAGAATTGTGAATGAAAATGATTGTTGCGGTAAGTATAAGTAATGGAAGAGAAAGGGAAATTGCAGAAAAGAGAGAACAGCATGGAAATGACGACGTTGAAATGTCCGTCAGACAGCAACGAAGCTGCATGCAATGATTTCATTCCATATGCTTTTGCGTTTCATTCTGCATGAATTTCCCTTATGACTGAATTGCATTGCAGGGCTTGGAGTTGGATGACATGAAGAAGCGTTGAAGGAAAGAGAAGGAAGACGGAAGCTTCTGCTTTGGCGGGAGAGGCAGGCAAAGGTTCGAGAAGGAATGGGATCTGTACAGGACCTCATGTCGTTAATTTTTTTTGCTACTTTTTCATCGGTAGATTTTGTTTTTAAATATTCCACTGTTTTTTTATGTTGTTGTGTGAATTCTATGTATTTTGATGTAATTGGTCGAATTGGCTGTGTTCTAATGTGGAATTAGCTCTAGTTTGTTATTTGTTTTTTTTACATTGTTGCATATAGATCACTAATATTCCATTAGTTGATTTTTCAGTGAACTACCTTGTAGAAATTAGGATTCGGTGTGTTGCTTAGTGATGTGTGGTGCGATATCCAATTGATTCCGATGTGGAAGACCGGAGTTCACTTTACAGGTTGAGAAAGGCTCTCTAACTTGGTTCATGACTATGGCACAGATGTTTTGTTTACCACTCGAGATAATTTTGTGTTATAGACTGATGGTAGCTTGAAATTTGTCAAGTTTTGTTTTAAAAGGTGGATTACTGGGTTAATGCCTGATTAGTTTGATTTCGGGCCGATACTTGGTGATGCTTTAGGTTCCCTAGTGCTCAAGGCTTCTGCAATTTCCATTAAAGGAGTGCATAGCAGGATGCAATTCATGTTGTGAATGAGAGAGGCCTAAGTGACAACCTAGAGTCTCCCCACGTGTCTCTTTTATTTGACTCTTTTTCTTAACCTGAAAAGAAAATTTTGTGGATGTTATTTGTTTTGTTCTTACCTTTGTCTTTTTCCTTCTGATTTATCTTCTTCTCCTTGCACATGGTGTGACCACTGTATTTTCTTAGTGTGCAAGACATTTCATTACAATCGATTCTTGGACTCTTGTTTCTGTTATTGATTCTTATCTCCAAATAGCTCTGCTACTGCGTTGCTTCGTCAGAACAATAAGAGGAGTAGATTTCATCCGACAGGCTTTGGGTCCGTCGGAACGTGTAGTCTGTCTGCTTCTTCTGTTTTACGTTTAAACATTTTATGATTTTTGCTCATGTTAATTCTTAATTGTCGTGTTACAATATGGGCTGTGTCGTCTACTGAGATTAACTTACTATATTTTGCATGTAGTTATTAATTCAAAACAAGCCAATGTGTATGCAATGTGTTGGCTGCTTTTGGAACCAAAATGGATTGTGATTCCGGGAGCATATTGACTTTATGTTGTGTTTCAAATTAAGTGTGAGGGGTCTTGATTTAATTCGTTACTCCTTAATCCTGAGGCTCTATACGTCTTAGACTCTAGCAGTTCATCATATGCAAATGTAGGAACACCGACTTGAACCTTAATGTTATGAAAAACATATTTCATGGTTTGATATTACACCCATGGTTTGATATTACACACATCTTTACATGTGTGTGTTATTTCATGCTTTGATATGTACTCACATGTTTACATGTGTTGTGTGTCTGCATGGAAAGTGACAATGTTAGAATAATTGAATGTGTAGAATAGAACTCGCCAACATCCATAATGGTCTCATCTTTTTCTGACAGGAGAATATATCCAGCAGCAAGATCAAAACTGTCTTTAATCCACAAGCCTTTGGACAAATTGGCCAGTTTCTTGCCTTGTTTACTGTTCTCTTTTATTTCAAGGTTTTGCTTAGTTCAGCATACTGTTTTTTAGTGAGTGCTTTTTGTTTTGTGTCTGCATTAGTCATAAATGCAGTGACTTTAAGCGCTACTTGACCTGCGGAATTGAAGCAATGCGATGTAGAAGAAATTTTTACTCGCAGACAAAGGTTAGAAGGGAAAAATTAAAGCAAGGGCACTGGAAAGTTGTTGATTAAATATAGATATATGTCCATTAAAAGGCGGAAGAATAATTAATATTACTGTTTGATTGTAAAGATTTTCTATTCAAATCAATGGTAAACATCTGGATGCGTACCATGACAGTATCCATAGTAGTTTAATAACTCAAAACCAGATTGCAGATCTAGGATAACAAGATTATGTTGGATGAGTAGACTATTGATGGCATAAAGCCTCTCAAATAGAAATTATGATTTTGGAACATTACAAATTTTGTTGTATCATGATTTAGATCCTATGTTCTATCGGACTTATGCTCAGCGTCAACATTAATTACAATTTTTACTGGATATGGCTCCTCTATTTTAGTTTTCTTGTGTCTCTTGTTCGAAGCTCTTGAAGGGCATGGACCAAACCTTAGCAACATGTCTTCTTTTTCACCCGTTATGCTATGATATGTTATCTATAGCCTCTTACTCAAATCCATACCTGCCCTATCCACCTGACCTGTTTTGATTGGCTTGCTTTTGATCACTGTTGCTAAGCAACTTCAAGCCCTGAAATATTTCTCACCTTTAGAATGTGCTGCTTTCAAAACCCTAAGCTGTTCATATTAACCAATCCTGTTGGAGGAATAAATGTTCATCCCACTTTACTGTGTGTGCAACCTTATTTGAAATTAACATGGGGAGGGCTATTTTTTTTTATACACAGATAAAATGATATTGATAGATTTTCTCAGTCCATTGTTTTACTCCATCTGATCAAATGTCCATGGCCATTTATGTGGTCTTTTATGCGTTTTTCTGTGTCTGATAACTCCAGTTTGTATTGGCTTTAGCTGACCTTTTATTTCTCGTGTATCATAGCAAAGTTGTTCATGTCTGTTGCTCGTGTATAATGCGAATGCCTCACTACTAATTGAAAGATTAATGCATAGTCTTCACCTACTTGAGTCTTGGAAATTTTGAATTTGTAAATTGCTACTAATTTGAACTTTTTGATGGTGAGAACTTTTTTTGTGTTGAATCTGTTCTTGATATTTCAAAGTTTGATTGTGTTTTCAAATGGTGGCGTCCTAATTGACATATGCCCGACTCCAATTGCAGGTTATGCATTCATCTGCAAGTTTTCTGGTTTAGTAGTGCTGCAGTTGGAAGTATGTGAACAAAAAAATATATTTAGATGGAGAGAAAATCATGTGAGAAATTTACAAAATGAAGATTTGAAAACAAATTATGCAACAAAAAAAAGGAGGGATTGACAAAATTTAAGAAGCTAAAGCGTTATTTGTTGTGTAAAGTGATATTCATGGAGTTGTAGTATGGTGGACATACCGATTTGGCTCCTCTAAGATGAGGAGATGCACTTTAGATGATAAAACTGCCCTGTTATTGTTGATTAAAAAACCAATGGTTTATATTTGTGATAAAATTAAATACATGTTTAACAAAATCTGACATTAATTTTAATCTCAATCTGTGATTTTTTTTAAGTAGTCGTTATTATTTATCTTCAATATCGAATTCCCCTCACTTTAGAGGAGTCAAATCCAAAACGTCATAGTTTGATAGAGAAGAGGAAGGTAGGAAAAAGAAAAAGAAAATACATGTAAAGCTAATTATAATTTAGGGTGAAAATACAGGCCCATTAGCATAGAAACTCAATTTTTGTGGTGGGATGGACAGAGGAATGGATTAGACTGCAGATCGAGAACGTGGATTCCTACTGGGGGGAAGAGGAATTTGTAGTTAAAGGACAGCTCTTGGTATCTCCCATTTTGATTGCAAAACCAACTGATGCTTTTGGCGGTGCCTAGTGCTCAAAAGTATAATAGGTATTTTTTGTCATGGTGAGGGGGCCTTGTCATTTCTCTGTTTTCTTGGGATCAAGAGGAACTTCTTAATCAAATTTCTTTTTTACTGCTATTTTAACTAAGTCACCACACAACTTGAAAGAAAAAGAGGGTGAAGGGGTAGAAAAGCGAAAAAGAGTTCATGAAACATACCCATCCATTTTGCAGTTCCGTGAATTAAAATTAAAATTTGGATGTTTTGTAGTTTAAATTGCATAGTATCCTGGGATATTATGAAGAAAGGAGTTGGAGTGGATGGCTGACATCAAATTACAAACATTTAAATAGGCAATGGGTGTGTATTATATTGCATGGTTGTTTGTTATAATTAATTTCCAGAATATTAGCATTATGTTTTTGTTGCAACTGACAAAACTTTCCATGGACAACCAATAGCAAATTGATTGGCTTTCTGTGTGGCTTTGTCATCAATTAATCTCTTAGGATTGATATTTTCCGCAGGTGGACTATTCATGTACTCCAGAAGAAGTGCAGCAGCATTTCCAGTCATGTGGAACTGTAAACAGAGTCACCATCCGAACTGATAAGTTTGGCCAACCAAAGGGCTATGCTTACGTAGAGTTTCTTGAAGTGCAGGCTGTTCAAGAAGCTCTTTCGCTGAATGAATCTGAACTACACGGGCGTCAATTGAAGGTTAGAACATAGAGTCTTGCTGTTTAAATAATATCTGTATTTTCGTTTTTAACCTCCCATTCTGGTGTGGACGTTTTGCAGGTTACTGCTAAGAGGACCAATATACCAGGGATGAAGCAATATCGTCCTCGCCGGCCTAATCCTTACCAGGGGTTTCGAGGCAGAGCCCCGTATGCACCTCCTTTTGCTTATGCTCCTTTTGGATATGGGTATGTTGTTTTCATTTTCTTTTTCCAGGGGCATTTCATCTTCGACCTCAAAAACATCAAATCACGCCACAAATGTTTAGCAATCTGAGTTTTCTCATTTTTTTCTCTAAATAGTAGACGTGTAACACTCATCTTTTTAATTGCAGAAAAGTTCCGAGGTTTAGAATGGGAATGCGGTATAGTCCCTACTATTAATTATGCTGAATCAGAACTTTTGTCTAATGGATGGAAGGACATAACCTACTCCTTGTTCTAGTGTCATGGCTGATGCAGGCCATTCAGCATGAGGGAACGAACAGTACGACCACCGATTTAGCAGCAAACCCTGTAAGCTTACGATTTATTCTTCTGCATTTTTTTTATATTTGACATATATATTCAAAGGTTCTTTGTAAAAGTATCTGTTAAAAAATTTTAATGTATGGGATTTTCAGTTGCTTTTTTTCTTCTCTCAAATTGTACTATTGTATAGGTGCATCAGTTTTCTTCTCGAAAATCCAAACAGTAGTTGTTCCTAGTTATTGTTGTTGTTGTAGACTAGCCTGTGTCGTGATTGTCAAAAGTCAAAACCCTATGATAATCCAGAATCGGCTATGGGAAAACGTTGCTACGATAATCCATAGCAATAGCCTGAGACTTTATTTGGTCCACACACTACTTGCATTTTTGTGTACGAGATTATTTTAGTTAATTCGGTTTTCATAGTAATTAATAAAATTGGTTAATTTATTTAGTGACATTAAATTTAGTAATAACTTGTATCTTTTTCAAAATTACCTTAAATTATCGAATTTCTTTTATTCATTTTACCTAATTTTTCCTGTTAATATGTGGAGAGAAATAGCGATGCAATTTGTGGCTAATCATGTTTTCTAATATCCTCTCATGAAAGGAAGTTCATCTTAATAGCTTAAAACATTTATTGATTATGGATCAAAAGTTATAAAATAATTTTAGGGACAGTTTGATATGAGAAAAATACTAGAAACCATTTAAAAGGTCATATAAAAAGAGATAAATAAATTTTTGAAAAGATTTCAGTAGAAAGTTCTACTCATTCTTCACGCAGGAGAAAGATTGTCCATGCAATTTCTCTTGAGTAACCTTAAACCGTGACCCTCTTCACTGAGCATCAGAAGAATCTGCATGGTTTTACACTTTAGATTGCTGTAAATGCCTTCTTAAATGTAATCAACTAACAATTTGAGTGCATCAGACTTACCATGCTTATTATAGCTGTTCATTCAATTATATCCTTCACATGTATGTATAATACTGCAGTGAGCAACTTGGTCACGAAAAAGCATTGAAAAATGTGGAAGAACTGACTCAGGAATACGATGTCTAGAGGCATAGACCAAATCCAATTATGGTAGTTATTTTATAACAGAGGGTAAAACCAAATAACCAGGTATCTTTATAAAGTGTAAATTTTATTATTCAATTTTCTCGCATGAATACACTAACACGTTCATGAGTTCTTATTTAAAAATCTTACTTTTGTTGAATGAGAAACTGGTTAGGAAACAGAAAGAGACGTAGCATGTAACTCCACCACCCATCAGAGTGTTCTGCCCAAGGTCCTGCTTATTTCAGAAGAAGACCATCAATCTTTCACCCTTGTGTTATCAAGGGTACTAGCCAATGCTTATCGGAAACATAATTGCAGAGATAAAGGACCCACCAAAACGATCTAAAAACAATGACATCCCTGTAGCCTTTTACACCTTGCTAGATTCATTTCACCTTACCAGCATCATCATGACCGATACCTCGCCATAATGGTCTCCCAGGCCCCCAACACCACCACCTTTATTCTCATTTACCATAAACAAACAAAAACACCAACCCCCCTCCACCACCGCTTCATTCCTCAACCACCTTACCTTACTTTACCCATACATATCAATAATTCATAAAAAAGAAAACCCACTTTCGATTCCTTTTCTTAAAATTACACAAAACAAACCCATCAACCTAACTTCTCATATATAAAATATATCTATATCACATTAATGATATCCCTTTTTCAATCTTATTCTTCGTTATTCATAATTTACTATTTATACAACATTCCACTTCCTCTATAGTCTTTAGTACCACAATTTACACGTAACACTAAACGACAAAAGCAGGCTCAGAATTTAGAAACACACTCCGTCCGATCCCACTCCGTTATCCATTCTTCCATTCTCCNTAGTAGTGCTGCAGTTGGAAGTATGTGAACAAAAAAATATATTTAGATGGAGAGAAAATCATGTGAGAAATTTACAAAATGAAGATTTGAAAACAAATTATGCAACAAAAAAAAGGAGGGATTGACAAAATTTAAGAAGCTAAAGCGTTATTTGTTGTGTAAAGTGATATTCATGGAGTTGTAGTATGGTGGACATACCGATTTGGCTCCTCTAAGATGAGGAGATGCACTTTAGATGATAAAACTGCCCTGTTATTGTTGATTAAAAAACCAATGGTTTATATTTGTGATAAAATTAAATACATGTTTAACAAAATCTGACATTAATTTTAATCTCAATCTGTGATTTTTTTTAAGTAGTCGTTATTATTTATCTTCAATATCGAATTCCCCTCACTTTAGAGGAGTCAAATCCAAAACGTCATAGTTTGATAGAGAAGAGGAAGGTAGGAAAAAGAAAAAGAAAATACATGTAAAGCTAATTATAATTTAGGGTGAAAATACAGGCCCATTAGCATAGAAACTCAATTTTTGTGGTGGGATGGACAGAGGAATGGATTAGACTGCAGATCGAGAACGTGGATTCCTACTGGGGGGAAGAGGAATTTGTAGTTAAAGGACAGCTCTTGGTATCTCCCATTTTGATTGCAAAACCAACTGATGCTTTTGGCGGTGCCTAGTGCTCAAAAGTATAATAGGTATTTTTTGTCATGGTGAGGGGGCCTTGTCATTTCTCTGTTTTCTTGGGATCAAGAGGAACTTCTTAATCAAATTTCTTTTTTACTGCTATTTTAACTAAGTCACCACACAACTTGAAAGAAAAAGAGGGTGAAGGGGTAGAAAAGCGAAAAAGAGTTCATGAAACATACCCATCCATTTTGCAGTTCCGTGAATTAAAATTAAAATTTGGATGTTTTGTAGTTTAAATTGCATAGTATCCTGGGATATTATGAAGAAAGGAGTTGGAGTGGATGGCTGACATCAAATTACAAACATTTAAATAGGCAATGGGTGTGTATTATATTGCATGGTTGTTTGTTATAATTAATTTCCAGAATATTAGCATTATGTTTTTGTTGCAACTGACAAAACTTTCCATGGACAACCAATAGCAAATTGATTGGCTTTCTGTGTGGCTTTGTCATCAATTAATCTCTTAGGATTGATATTTTCCGCAGGTGGACTATTCATGTACTCCAGAAGAAGTGCAGCAGCATTTCCAGTCATGTGGAACTGTAAACAGAGTCACCATCCGAACTGATAAGTTTGGCCAACCAAAGGGCTATGCTTACGTAGAGTTTCTTGAAGTGCAGGCTGTTCAAGAAGCTCTTTCGCTGAATGAATCTGAACTACACGGGCGTCAATTGAAGGTTAGAACATAGAGTCTTGCTGTTTAAATAATATCTGTATTTTCGTTTTTAACCTCCCATTCTGGTGTGGACGTTTTGCAGGTTACTGCTAAGAGGACCAATATACCAGGGATGAAGCAATATCGTCCTCGCCGGCCTAATCCTTACCAGGGGTTTCGAGGCAGAGCCCCGTATGCACCTCCTTTTGCTTATGCTCCTTTTGGATATGGGTATGTTGTTTTCATTTCTTTTTTTCCAGGGGCATTTCATCTTCGACCTCAAAAACATCAAATCACGCCACAAATGTTTAGCAATCTAAGTTTTCTATTTTTTCTCTAAATAGTAGACGTGTAACACTCATCTTTTTTATTGCAGAAAAGTTCCGAGGTTTAGAATGGGAATGCGCTATAGTCCCTACTATTAATTATGCTGAATCAGAACTTTTGTCTAATGGATGGAAGGACATAACCTACTCCTTGTTCTAGTGTCATGGCTGATGCAGGCCATTCAGCATGAGGGAACGAACAGTACGACCACCGATTTAGCAGCAAACCCTGTAAGCTTACGATTTATTCTTCTGCATTTTTTTTATATTTGACATATATATTCAAAGGTTCTTTGTAAAAGTATCTGTTAAAAAATTTTAATGTATGGGATTTTCAGTTGCTTTTTTTCTTCTCTCAAATTGTACTATTGTATAGGTGCATCAGTTTTCTTCTCGAAAATCCAAACAGTAGTTGTTCCTAGTTATTGTTGTTGTTGTAGACTAGCCTGTGTCGTGATTGTCAAAAGTCAAAACCTATGATAATCCAGAATCGGCTATGGGAAAACGTTGCTACGATAATCCATAGCAATAGCCTGAGACTTTATTTGGTCCACACACTACTTGCATTTTTGTGTACGAGATTATTTTAGTTAATTCGGTTTTCATAGTAATTAATAAAATTGGTTAATTTATTTAGTGACATTAAATTTAGTAATAACTTGTATCTTTTTCAAAATTACCTTAAATTATCGAATTTCTTTTATTCATTTTACCTAATTTTTCCTGTTAATATGTGGAGAGAAATAGCGATGCAATTTGTGGCTAATCATGTTTTCTAATATCCTCTCATGAAAGGAAGTTCATCTTAATAGCTTAAAACATTTATTGATTATGGATCAAAAGTTATAAAATAATTTTAGGGACAGTTTGATATGAGAAAAATACTAGAAACCATTTAAAAGGTCATATAAAAAGAGATAAATAAATTTTTGAAAAGATTTCAGTAGAAAGTTCTACTCATTCTTCACGCAGGAGAAAGATTGTCCATGCAATTTCTCTTGAGTAACCTTAAACCGTGACCCTCTTCACTGAGCATCAGAAGAATCTGCATGGTTTTACACTTTAGATTGCTGTAAATGCCTTCTTAAATGTAATCAACTAACAATTTGAGTGCATCAGACTTACCATGCTTATTATAGCTGTTCATTCAATTATATCCTTCACATGTATGTATAATACTGCAGTGAGCAACTTGGTCACGAAAAAGCATTGAAAAATGTGGAAGAACTGACTCAGGAATACGATGTTTAGAGGCATAGACCAATTCCTATTATGGTAGTTATTTTATAACAGAGGGTAAAACCAAATAACCAGGTATCTTTATAAAGTGTAAATTTTATTATTCAATTTTTTCGCATGAATACACTAACACGTTCATGAGTTCTTATTTAAAAATCTTACTTTTGTTGAATGAGAAACTGGTTAGGAAACAGAAAGAGACGTAGCATGTAACTCCACCACCCATCAGAGTGTTCTGCCCAAGGTCCTGCTTATTTCAGAAGAAGACCATCAATCTTTCACCCTTGTGTTATCAAGGGTACTAGCCAATGCTTATCGGAAACATAATTGCAGAGATAAAGGACCCACCAAAACGATCTAAAAACAATGACATCCCTGTAGCCTTTTACACCTTGCTAGATTCATTTCACCTTACCAGCATCATCATGACCGATACCTCGCCATAATGGTCTCCCAGGCCCCCAACACCACCACCTTTATTCTCATTTACCATAAACAAACAAAAACACCAACCCCCCTCCACCACCGCTTCATTCCTCAACCACCTTACCTTACTTTACCCATACATATCAATAATTCATAAAAAAGAAAACCCACTTTCGATTCCTTTTCTTAAAATTACACAAAACAAACCCATCAACCTAACTTCTCATATATAAAATATATCTATATCACATTAATGATATCCCTTTTTCAATCTTATTCTTCGTTATTCATAATTTACTATTTATACAACATTCCACTTCCTCTATAGTCTTTAGTACCACAATTTACACGTAACACTAAACGACAAAAGCAGGCTCAGAATTTAGAAACACACTCCGTCCGATCCCACTCCGTTATCCATTCTTCCATTCTTCCATTCTCCATTATCCATTCTTCCATTCTCCATTATCCATTCTTCCATTCTTCCATTCTCCTTTATCCATTATCCATTATCCATTATCCATCCCCTGCTTCCGCACCCATCCACCAATATCTACACCATCCCACGCCACGTGGAACTCTCACACGAGAGTCTTGCATATCAGACTTTGAGGGTCCCACATCGCTGGCACCAGATACCTCCTCCCATTCACACCATGCGCATTGTAGCTCGCCCCCGTCACCTTATCCACCAGGACCTTACCCGGATATCCCGGGTACGACCCGCTCCCGAAAACCCCTGTGCAAGCCGAAACAGCCTCCAACGGCGCCGTCGGGGGGCCCTGGAAGTAACCGTTATTGAAAGGGTTCGTGACGGTCCCAGCAAGAAGGGTAGCCAAGTTAATTATCATTCCGTCAACCCCGACGTCGCCGTTAGGCGCAACCAATGGTGGCGTTTGGGGTCCGTAAATCGGCTGGTGGAAGGGCCACGCGCATTGCCCGGGGCACTGCGTTTCGGAGTTTCCAACCCATATATAAGCGGTGCGGGCAGCGTTTCGAACGTTTCGGGTAGAGCCATGGGTCCCACAGCGGCTCATGCAGAAACCCTCGACGGCGACGTCTTTAGCCGTTAAGACGACCGATATCGAGTTGAGTTGATTAAACTTCGAGGCGAGTGCGAGAAGGTGGTTCCCCTTGAGGCTTTTCCCGAGCGTGTAAGCCGGGTGGAGAATCTGGCTCCCTACGACCAGCGCAGAGGATCCCCCCTTGTAGTTCTCCGTGGTTTTCCACCACGTGGCAGTGGAAGGAAGCGCCGCGTTGGGCGCGCTGCTCAGCGAGTTTATGAAGTCGACGATGACAGAGCGTTGGATCGGAGTGAAAGTGCCGTACCAGATGAGATTGACGGTGATGCGGCCCTTGAGCAGCTGACCGTTGTGGTACTTGAGGACAAGTGGTTGCTCCTGTACAAGCTCCCCTACAGTTAGCAAGGGAAGGAGGAGCAGCGTGAGAACTTCAGAGAAGGTAATGGCAGGGTTGTAATTAGAGGCCATGTTGTGGATTAGAAGGAAAGTGTGAAGTGTAGAGAGAGTGTTTGAATTAAATTGACGACGGAGAGACGTATTTATATACCTGGTGAGCGGGGACAGCTGTGACCACTGAGGTGTCAACATCCTCATCTTCCACGTGTCTCTTTTTCATTCGCTGCTACTTTCACAGCCTGTCCAAGTTTCAACTTCATCATGTTTTCACCATTTTGCAACCATTTTCACGCTTCTACTAATGTAAAAATAATTTTTCCTTCTTTTTAAATATTATTTAAGTTATTTATCGCAACACTGATTTGACTACTCTAATTTTTTATTTGGCAATCCCTAGAAGGCTTTAGCATGCGTTTCAGCACATATTTGAAGCTGGCTATTTGGGCCCCACGTGGAATTTCAGTCGCAATATGGGCCGTGGGATTTGAATGGACGGTGAGATTGGAGACATATAATTGGAGTGGGTTAACGTGTATGATGCAATATGCATCGAGTTTGATGAGATTGACGTCAGATGCAGAGTTTCAGGAAGAAAGAGTGTTTCAGTGGATTTAATATATCCTCGCATGCAATACATCGATGAATCTCATTCACCCATTAAAATATTGAATTTAATAAACATGTATATATATATATTAGAGTATGTTATTTTTAAATGCTTTTCGAAAAAAAGTTGTAAAGAAAATGTTAAAGGAATATTTTGAAAAATTAAATTTAAATTTATTTCTAAAAGGTTGGTTGAATTAATTTTAATCAATTAAATATTAAAAGAAGATTTTGTTGAAAAATAATGAATAAATCATTAGAAAAGGATATTTTATTATCATACTTGTATAACTTCGTAATAAATGAATTTACTTGGAATGAAAACTTGATGAATTTATTTAGCTTTGTAAGCTTTACTTGGCGGTGAAAACGAATGAATGAAATTAATGTATTATCTATATTTTTATAATTTTGTAATAAATGGGTGAAAACTTGATGGATCTATTTAACTTTGTAAGCTCAACTTGACGTTAAAACGAATTAATGAAATCAATATATTATCCATACTTTTATAATTTCGTAATAAATTAATTTACTTGGGATAAAAACTTGATGAATCTATTTAGCTCTGTAATTTAGCAGTGAAAACGAATTAATGAGATTAATATATTTCAGATTATATAGAAAGGGATAAAAGAAATTACTTTTATCTATTAAAAGTTAAATTAAAAATTCCGACCATCTTGATCTATTAGATAAAAATAAAATTTGAACCATTCCTTAACATTTTTATGATATATTTTGGTGAAATAAGAGTATATTTTTAAAATAGTTTTAAAACAAAATAAACCTTGCAAAACAAATTTAAAATATATTTCTAAAAGGTTTATAAAATATATAAATTTAAGAAACATTTAACTATACAAAAAGTAGTCAAATTAATTTAAATACCTTAAAAATTGATGGAAAAAAAGTTATTGGATTTTGAAAAACGATCGAAAATTATTAACCATTTGAAAGAAATTGATAGATTTAATTTAATTTAATTATTTTTTATAGATTGAGGAGTAATGATTGATAGATGGGTAGAGCATCAAACCATACTTTCTCAAATAAGAATAGAGGTTCTCATGTTTCCTCTTTGAGCATTACGTTTGCAATTGGTTCATCATTTTTTTAGGTCTTCCATACGGAAACATTGTAATTTTAAACTAATTATTTCTAAAATTATTTTTAAAACGTATTTTTTGCAACGAAGAGCAATTCAACAACTTAAGAAAATAATAAGGAATCGATACAACAATTTTTTTAATGTTATAAACAATTTTAAAAAAGCCAATTCAACAAACAAGTTTTTTCCTTTAATTTCTAAAACAGTTTGTAGTATAAAATTACAAAAATATTTTTTTTCTTAGTTCTTATAAAAATTGATTTGCAAAATACTCTTTAGGAACTTAAAAGTAAAACTAAAACAAATAGGTTCTAATAAACTACTGTTGTCTTTATATATTTTATCATTAATTAGAAATTATTTATGTCATTTTACATATATATGAACTTTGTGTTATGTAGCCTTCAAAATCATCTCACGTTACTTCTCCCCTTTCTCTTTGTTTCTTAACCTAAGCAATAATGAAGAAAGATGAAAAGTTGAGATAATAATAGGTTGTGAAGGTGAGTGATGTTGACTTTGAAAAGCATGCCTCTGGCTATGAGCTTAGGAATTTAGGGTGACGAAGCTCATTAGATGATACTAAATAGGTAAGCTTATTCAATGATACTCGTACATGCCAACTTTAAGCACTAAACTAAGACCATTAAAATATGCATAGGACCATTTTTCACGTGATAGACTCACAATCTTAAATTTGATATTTGTGTATTGAAACTTAGGAAAAAAAATAGTTATATTAATTAAACTTAGGAAAAAAATGTCTTCGGAGGTCTCTATTTCTGCGGATTCGTATCAATTGGGTCTTTATATTTTGAAAGTTCTCAATTGGGTCCCTATTTTGGTAAAATTGAGTCAATAATACCCTTGCCGTTAATTGCTGTGGACGGCGTTAATTTTCTTGCGATGTGACATGCTGAGGTGTCCTTTAATTACGACGTGGCACAGGCTAACCAACTAGAACATACCACCTCACACCTCCTACCACGTCATCTATGTCTTCTCCCCATAAACCTTAATTTCCAAACCCTAGCTACTATGCGCCGCCACCGCCATCCTCGCCGGTAGTCGTCCGATCAACCTTTGTTGTGAACCTCCATGGTCGTCGCAAGTCCTCTGTCACTCTCCTCCTTCGTCAATCGCAAGCAACCTGCAGAAGATTAAACCACAGAACCCAGAATCATGCATCTACTTCTAGCGCGAGAATCTACTCCATCATCTTCTCCATGGCAGTCACGCGAATCACACATCAACTCAATTGAAGCCACCACCACGAAATCGCCACGGGACCTGCATACTAGAAATAGCCACCAAGGGCTGCTGTGAAAGTGTCAATCGCGAGTTGTAGGCGGCGCAAATCACGACCTCTAGAGTGTTGTCGTAGGCTGTTGGCATGAACTCACAGCATTCGTCGACAGCGTGGCCGCTGAAGTTGATGGCTTGGTTCTTCTGGCATTCTCGGTACCGTATTGCGGCAGCGCCGAACGCCCCCTTCTGTCCCTCGCCATTGACTTTTGAGCTTCAGATGCAAGGAATCCGACAATGTTTTTTTTGTTTCCCACACTAGGTCCCCCTCTTACAATACAACCCAGTACAAGGTTTAAGAAAATATGGAGTCCGAGGACACAAACCAAAATGACGTAATCACATGGTTGCAAACCTAAATCGCTCCCCATGAGGATCGAATCAACCAAATCTTCCCAGAAACCAATTAAAAGAAAAGATTCTGCAGTGCTGGAAACAAACGGACAAAAAAAGGGGAGAAATCGTCAACACATGACCGTGAAAATGAAAAAACTATATACATATATATAAAAATAAAACAAAAAATGAAAAACTAAAGAGAATCTATCTGAAGGAGATTACCGATTAATGGAGGAGTTGGTGTTGTTTTGTTGGAATGTCTGATGGTGGTTTGAGAAAAATAAAAATAATATGATTAGAATGGAAAAGAAGAAGAAGGTGAGGAAGGTTTGAAGTCAAAAGGGGATTTGGAAGAGGAAGAGTGAGGTTTCCAATGTAGAGCTCGCAAAGCGTGGTGAGGTTTCCAAGCTCCGGAGGGATGTTTCCCGTGAGCTCGTTGCGGAGATGGCAAGGTACTAGAGGTACTGTCAGGTGCCATATTTAGGAGGAATCTGTCCGGAGAAAAAGTTGTAGCCGAGGTGGAGGTGGCGGAGGAGGGCCATGGCGGCGACGGGGAGGTGGAGGTGGACCCTAATTTGTTTTAAAGGATTTTATTTAAAACTTAAAATAAAATAAATTCCATCACATGCGCCACATCATAATTAATTGCTGGGTCAGCATTCCACGATACACTAAAGTTAACGCCGTCCACTAAAATTAACGGCAAGGGTATTATTGGTTCAATTAAAAAAAGAATGCTACCATTTTTCCCGAAAGATTTTTCACCTAATGTAAACTAACAATAAATAATGTTAATATTCTAACGAGTCTAAAGTAGTTAAATGAACCTAGGAAACTACTCAAATGGTAAGAACTACCTAAAACTCAAATGGTAAGAACTACCTAAAGAATGAGAAAGTGGAAATTCACCTAAAATAGACTAACAATAATTAATCTTAATATCCTAACAAGTCTAAAGTAGTGAAATGACACTACAAAACTACCCAAAACCAAACAAATTCGTAAAACTAAAGGTTTTAGTAGTTAGAACCTAAAAAAGTATACTAAAAAGATGAGAAATTGACAATTCACCTAAAGTAAACTAACTTTAACTAATGTTAATATCCTAATAAGTATAAAGTAGTCAAATGAAGGTAAGAAACTACTCAGAAGCAAACAACTACCTAAAACTCATAGTTTGAGTAGTTTGAACCAAAAAAGTTCACTTAAAGGGTGAAAAATTGTCAATTCACCTAAAGTAGAGAATTTTAAGTAATGTTAACATCCTAACAAATCTAAAGAAGTGAAATGGAGCTAGGAAAGTAGTGAAAAGCATAGAATTACCTATAACTCAAAGTTTGAGTTTTTAGAACCCAAAAAAGTGTACTTAAAGGGTGAGAATTTTTCAATTTACTTAAAGTAGACTAATTTTAAGTTATGTAAACATCCTAACAAGTCTAAAGTAGTGAAATGAACCTAGGAATCTTATCAAAATCAAAGAATTACCTCAAACTCAATGTTTGAGTATTTAGAGCCTAAAAAGTGCACTTAAAGGGTGAGAAATAGCAAGAAGATCTAAGGTACACTACTTTTAAGTAATGTTAACATCCTAACATGTCTAAAGTAATGAAATGAACCTAGGAAACTTGTCAAAAGCAAAGAGTTAGGTAAAACTCAAAGTTTGAGTATTTAGAAGAAATTGTCAATTGACCTAAAGTTGACTAATTTTAACTAATGGTAACATCCTAACAAGTTTAAAGTAGTGAAAT